ATATAATTATATTACAGTTAAATATTAAATTTAATATAATAATTCTGAATTTTGATTAATTAATTCAAGAAAATCCTGAGTTCTGTAATTTTAAACTATTGGTACCTGATTTTTAATTTGCTGAAAGTAAACCCCTTTTATAGAAAACGAGTGTATATAATAGTTGGACTCACTATTATTGTTGAGACTGTAATAAGATAGACCTCCGTGTTCTTCTTGAAGTGTAAGGTGTTCCGGCTGCTCTAATAAATAAACGCTACCTGCAAAATGAGGTTGAGACTTTCTTCCACATTGTACCTCCGTCGTGAGAATCAGTATAGGGTTTAGGAAGATAGGAAATGTAATTGGTATTCAAATAGTTCGGGTTCCTCAATCCATACCTTTTCCATCTCAGGGGTATTTATAGGCCTCTGATACCACTTATAACGTCATCCACGAAATTTGTTTCACCCGAAGTATCTAAGTATCTACTTGCAACCATCATTTCTTTATTCTGCAATTTGTAGCAATCATTCTTTAAATAACTCTTCTTCTTGCAGTAGTTACAAATTTGATTACTAAACTTAGATTTCGATTTGCCCCTTCCAAAACCACCATGAGCAACCAGGCATTCTCCATCTATGACCTCAGAAACTAGATGCTTCATTTTCTCTTTTGAATACAGAGTATCGTGCACCTTCTCTATGGTGAGAGTATCACGATTATATAAGATCGTGTCTCTAAATGAAGAAAACGAAGCGGACAATGAACACAGTAGGATCAAGGCCAAATCTTCTTCATCATACTCTACTACCAAAGTTTCCAAATCAGTGACGATCCCTTTAAATACAGTTAGGTGATCTTCTAATGATCTTCCTTCTGCCATTCGATGAGAGTATAAAGTTGTTTGAGGTTCAACTTGCTATCAGACTTTTAGTTATGCACAATTGCTCCAATTTCAACCATAAAGCAGTTGCTAAATTCTTATTCAAAATGTCCTGAAGAATAGTATTTGTTAGATGAATATGAATGTGAGAAATTGTCTTCTTATCATTTCGTAATTTCTCATCCGCGATTAAAGTTGCGAGCGTCTTGTCAATTCCCAACAACGCATCATCCAAATCCAGTTATGCGAGTACCGCATGCATCTTAAACTGCCATAGTGAAAATCTAGTGCTCTGATCCAAAAGTAGAATGTCATACTTCATGGAAGCCATCACGAACAGAAACTTGGAACAAATCAAACATTGCGTTCTTGTGGAACTACTGAACCTAACGCTCTAATACCACTTGTTGCAAAACAACCAAGATACCAGAATTGTTCCGATACCAACTGTTGTAAAATAAATCACCGGATTGAGATGTTGAAGTCATGTGATAAATAATAGTGAAGTATATAATCAAGTAAAAGAATAATAAAGATAAGAATATGACATATGGAATTAATGGATTTTATTGACTTAGGAATAATGGAGAAGATGGGAAAAAATTACAATAGATCTTATAATTTTAGTAATCTATTTTCTCACACAATAAAATTGTATAGAAGAGCCTAATATTTATAGAGAACATATAGGGGATGTCAAAACCTTCATAGTAGAGTTGTTGATAAAGTAGGATACCAAAAAATCGAGTCCAAACCAAATTACAACTCCCAATGGGCTTCCAAAATAAAACTTCAACTTGACATAGGACTCCAATAGCATTCTAAATTGAATTCTTCTTGATGTGTACTTCAATTAGAATTTTTCAATTACTTCTACAAGGAATTCAAGTAACACCTAAATTCTAACAATCTCCATCTTGTGCAGGTTGCGCAACAACGCTCCCTGCCATCCACAGTGCCCACATACCACTCTCGTTGTTCCGAGTTGACTTGTAGAGGCGATGCCACCGCGACGCTCACACCACCGCGCCACAATGCTATGAGCGTGTAGCGAACGACAAGCGCCGCTTCAAAAGGGTGCTCAGGACAGTGGACCTCCAATATTGGTGTGCGATAAAGAGTGAGAGGGGAGAGGAAAACGACTAGGGTTTAAGGAGTGAAATGTAGTGGGGGTGGTGCAGTGGATTA